AACAGTACAGTAAATATTAAATAAATAAATAAATTGATAAATCTATTGCAAAAATACACTGAAATTATTATTATTACTAAATACTTGTTATATTACAGTATATACAGTATTATATTAATTTTAATTAATTCTCTCTCTCTCTCTCTCTCTCAATGTTTATCGACATTATCTCGTTTATAATGCAAGTATGTTTGCACTGTATATATATATATATATAGTTTTATTGGTATTACGTGTGTTATGCCACACATACACCAAAGTTTGTTGAATTTGTGCACATTTTTTTATAATATATAAAAAACTAACTAAAAATAGCAACTGTTTGATACTATATGATACTGAAAGAGAGAGAGAGAGAGAGAGAGAGAGAGAGAGAGAGAGAATGGGTAAAAAAAATATTAAAATACATATTAATTTTTTTCTAGTTTTTTTTGTATACATTTTTGATTATACGGAATATACATATGTATTATATATATATATATATATATATATATATATATATTAAATAAAATTATAAATAATTATTTATTTATTTATATAGTATTTAATATTCAATCAATATTATAATAAAAATGCAGTGTTGATGTTGTGCACGTTTACCTAGCAATAAATTAATATTAATATATATATATATATATATTTATTTTTTTAATAATATTTATATACCTTTATAATTAAATATATATACTGTATATTTTATTATTTAGTTAGTGTATAAATTATGATAAAATGTTTAATAAAAATATTATTTTTTTGGTAGTTGTTATTAAAGCATACATTAAACAACTATTAAATTTATGTTTAAATATCGTTAACCTCATTGCGAAACTATGTACACAAAAATTATATATTGTATAAATATATGATTTAGTTTTTAAAAAAAAATAAAATATAAGTTTTATTTTAAAACTAAAATACTGTTTTATCATAATTGAAACATAATTTTTGAAGTTTTTTTTATAAATTTATTAAATAAAAATAAATTAGAGATTTTCACTCATCAAATGATTTCTATTAAATTTTTTTTTTTAAAAAACTAAATTATTTTTTTTGTAAATATATATTAATTTTTTATATATACAGTATATTATCAGATTTGGACTAAATATCAAGGTTTTCAAAATATTAATGTTATTTTTGTTAATATAATTTATTAAAATTCATTATTAATATGCATATAACATATATATATACAGTATATATATACAGTATATTTATATATAAATATTTTGTAATTAATTTATTTTTTAAAAAAAATTGTTAATATTGGCGCTCATACTGTGTGTATATATATATATTGAATACTAAATTTTTATTTAATATTAAAGCAGCACCTGTACCTCAGAGGAACTACATGTTTTTTTTAAATAAATAGGTATGTCTAATTGATTTATGACACTATATATATTAACTATTACTACTGTTTCAATATTTTCAAATAATGTTTATTTAATTATATATTAATTTAAAAAAACTATTTTTAGAAATAACCTTTTATTTAATGTGTGTGTCTATTATGAATATTAAAATATTTTTATTTAAAATATTTTTTTTTAATTATTAACTGTATATTTAATTAAATATAATATATTATTCATCAACAAAAAAAATTGAATTAATTGAATAAACATAACTTTTTTTTATCAAAATTTTTTTTATTACACTATATCATCAAAAATGTATTTTAACTATTATAGTAGTGTATACTTAATAGATATATATATATAATAATAATAATCTTTATTATTAATAATGTAGTGTCATATATATACAATATATCTTACGAAATACTGTATATTTACTTTTATATTTATATAATAAAAATTATATAAATGTCAAATCAAGGTTATGTATCAATAAAACAAAATATTTTATAAAATAAAACATTTAAAAAAATTTTTGTGTTAAATCATTTTGCTATATAAACAACAAAAATTTTACTAAAATAAAATAAAACTAAAATACCTGTTATATATTGAATATATATTGAATATATATATATATATATATATAAAACATGTATATAATGTTTATCCTTATACTATATTGGATATCCTTATTACATGACTTGTATCATACAAACACTGTTAGCTTTTTTTAAAATAAAATAAATTAAAAAATATATTTATTATATACTGTTTATCATTATTATTATAGTAATATCATACATATAGATATCATATATAAACTTTTAATTTATATAAACAATTAACAAAAAAAATCAACCAACAAATTGTACGTAAATAAGTCAATAAATCAAATAAATATTATTAATATTTTTTAAATTAATTAATTAATTTTTTGATTAATATATATATATATAGTCAGAAAACCTAACAAAACATAAACACATTAATTAATAGTTTTTATAATAATAATATTATAAACACTTATAATGATATTTATTATCTCCCAAAAAAAACAAACAATTATTATTATTGTCATATGTTTTATTAAATAGTAATTTTTTTCACTGTATTATTATATTAGAAATTTTCAAATAAAACTTTACCGCTTTTTTAAATAATTATTATTATTATCATATCTATTAAATTGAAAAATACAGTATACTATTGATAATATTGATAAACTGATATTTAACGTTAATTATTAATACGTTAATAATACTAATAATAATAAAAACTTTTTAAAAATCATAATAACATTTACTTAAAAAAAATAAATAAATATTTTTTTTAATAATTTAGTTTCAAGTTTAAGGTTATTTTTACACTCAATTAATTAAACAAATTAATTGAATGACAAATAAAATAAATTATCGATTTTAAAGTTTCGAAAAAAACAAATATTTATATATATTATATATAAAGTTTAAAACTATTTATAAACTGTTTGTATTATAATAATAATACTATATTAAGTTTATTTTCAACTATTATTAATATAATCATAAAATATATGACTAAAACAAATTATATATATATATATATATATATAGATTAAAAATATATTAAATGGTTAAAATAAAACTTATATATATATATATAGATTAAAAATATATTAAATGTTTAAAATAAAACATATATATATAGATTAAAAATATATTAAATGGTTAAAATAAAACTTATATACAGTATATATATAGATTAAAAATATATTAAATGGTTAAAAAATAAAACTAATAATATGTTAGTTGCCATCAAAATAATTATTAGTAAATATTATTATTAAATGTTTTTCAATGTATAATAATTGTTGTTAACCACTAATATATATATATATATAATGTTTAAAAAATTGTTAGTTTAAATGCTATGCCTATTAGCGGCTATTATATTGTTTTTATTTATTACATAATTAATATTAATTGTATAGTTATTAAGGCATCGTTTAATCAGCCAATTTGTAATAATTTTGATATCCGATCGCCAATCGATGGCATAACTGAACTAAAATCGGGCCAGAAATTGATATTCAAAGGCCGGGATATCTGGCTAGTGGACAGACGCCGTAATCGGTGTCATAGGCGACAAATCGGTGACATTATTAGTAGCGGCGGCGGCGATGGCGGCGATACTGACGATACTAATGAATTGCTGGCCAACAACGGTATCAGTATCGGAGTCGATGCCGTGGCCAACGACCCGCGCCTACATTTGACATTCATATTTAAGGTAATTGAGAGGGGGAGGGGGGGGGGAACCAACCAACCCGATAGAGAGTGTCTAACCCCCCACAGGGGGTAGTAGTGGTGGGGATCCAATTGATCCCAATTTAATTTAACAAATTGCAGGACAAGTGGCTATGGTTTGTGGATTCGGATCTAAAGATTAGGGAAAAGTCGGTAATCGCTTCGGTATTTTACGAACAGTTAGATAGTGTCGATGCAGCCCTTTATGCTGTCAATCAACGATACGATGGTTTTATACAATATGATCGGTTATATCTGTTCAAAGGTTAGCTATATATATATATATCTATTTAGTAATTATTATAATTATTATGAAACTTATAGTATATATATATATATATTTTGTTGATATATAACCAGACAATCAAATGTGGACCTATTATATCGAAATGTTTATGAATGAATATTATGTTAAACCAGTGGATACCAAACCAAGATTATTGGATCAATTAAGTCAACTATTGCCCCGACAGCTGGACTCGGCCTACAGTAACAATAGTTATGTTTATTTGATTGCCGGCGGCAAACAATATAGGATTGATAGGCAAAAATTTGTGGTAATATATATATAGATATTAATAGTTAGAGTGAGTGGAGAGAGAGAGAGAGAGAGAGAGAGAGAGATAGAGAGGAGAGAGAGAGAGAGACTGAAAGAGAGAGAGAGAGAGAGAGAGAGASAGAAAGAGAGAGAGAGAGAGAGAGAGACTGAAAGAGAGAGAGAGAGAGAGACTGAAAGAGAGAGAGACTGAAAGAGAGAGAGACTGAAAGAGAGAGAGAGACTGAAGAGAGAGAGAGAGACTGAAAGAGAGAGAAACTGAAAGAGAGAGAAACAACAAAAAATAGTGTTATTATTCAATCAACTCTTTATAAAAACATTTTATTTTTCATAAAAATTAAATTCAATGTTTTATTTTTTTTAAGGATAATCATGAACTGACCGCCGATGATATACAGATAGAGCCGGCACTGACCGATATTATTGAACTCAATTTATGGACAATTAAGACAAAACAATTGTTAGGCAACTATGATCTCTATATAAGTGAGTTATCATTCAATACATTATATATATTGATAGCAATTTTCGTGAAAAATTTCAAATTACTAACAAATTTATGTATAGTTGCCGTAATTGTGTCGACAAGTTTGACAATAGTTTATTTCCTAACAAAACTATTGATTATATTAATTAAAAACAAATGTTTTTCATCATCTATTGATAATCAAAATGATCTAAACGTTTATATTGTTTAATATAAAAAACAAAACAAAAAAGTATTGTATATTATATATGATATATCAATAGTAATCAAAAGTTATTAATGATATTACAGATATTATTATAATTCAATGAAACATATAGTAATAATATAAAGTTTATGTACTGTTAATAATAATATAGTTTTTTAAAAAATAAATTAAATTATAAATTATTATTATTATAAAAATTACAAATATATATAATATATATATAATAATAATAATAATCATTATTACTTACCAAAGTATAATAGTTATTGACAAACAAACATATATATCTGTGATTTTAGACACTAAAAAATATTTATTATTATTATTATTTAACACAAAACAAAAATCTTAGATTTCAAAACTTTTTTTTTAAAGTAAAATATTAATAATATGTAAAACACTTTGAATTTAAAAAATATATATTTAGCATATAATTACTGTAATAATGCAAATAATATTATTTATTATTGTTATTATTATTATTATTATTATTATGAATTACTAGTAATGATTAAATCAAAACAATATATTGCATTATTATACAGTATTTAATATTAAATAATATATATATATATAAATTGCCACTAAATTCAAGTACATCTCAATTAGTGAACTAATAATATGTTATCTAAAAAACTATGAAACAATTTTTTTTAATATTATTTTATTTTATTTTTTGTTTTTGATATTAATGTTTCACATTCCTGTAGATTATTGTATTATAATTACTAATAATAAGTTATTCAAAAAAAAAGTAAATACAGTATTCAAAATAAAACTACTAAATACAGGATATAATATATATATTAAAAAAATACTTTTTTTTATTAACAGTAACTATTTAGTGACTAAACAAATATATATGACTAAAAATTTTTTTTATATATAACTAACTTAATTAACACTTAAATAAATTGTTGTATAATTGTTAAGACAACTAAAAAAATGTGTGATTAATTAATTAATTAGTTTATGTAATTTATATATCAAATTAAATAACATTATTGTATTTCTAACATTATTAACGACAAATTATTAATTAATTAGTTTTTAGAGAGAAAAAAAATGATATATACTATAATATATTTTTTTAAAAATAAGTTATAATAAATTAAATAATAAGTGTTAGAAAATCATAAATTTAATATATTATATAAATTTTTATCTACAATATAGTATACCGGTACTTTATATATATATATATATATATTTATTAATACTTATTTAATCTATTTATTAGTTATTTGGATTTATTTAATAAATTGTCTGATAAAAAGTTTATAATACAGTATAAAATATTTAATATTTACAATATATATATATATATATATAACTGATTAGTTATAATTATATAATTTTGTGATTTCGTAATTATTGATTATTTATCAATTTATTAGTACATAAGTTATTAATAATAATAATAAGTAACAAATGCTGTCAAAAAAACAAAACAAAACTTATTATTATTATTATTATTAAATTTATTATTGATTTTTTTCAAAAGTTCAAAGTTAATTATACTGTAGATAAAATAATAATAATAATTATTATCAATTAATTCAACCAAAAAATATTTTAGTCGATTGAATAATATAGGGATTAAATTTAATCTATTTTTTTTTGTTTTATTTTTTTTAATCACACTTAACATTATATATATATATATATAACAATAATTATATAATATAGTAACAAAATAACTTCAAAACTATTTATTTATATAAAAAAAATAACAAAAAAAAACTTTATATACTATTATATAAATTCTTATGGAAACTATTGCTTAAATTAATTGCAATCAAAATGCAGTAATAATAATAATAATAATAAATTTTATTGACTTTAATTTATTATGTGATCATCAGATTGTTAGCTGAAAAGTTCACTTACATTGTTATGCATTATAATTGTGATATAATTTTTGTTTGTTGTTTTCAATTCAATTAAACAAAAAACAATAATAAGTTTTTTTTTGATACACTATTGTAAACAAGTGATAGTAAAATAACGGTTATATTTGTTTTGTTAAGTATATATATATATATAATATAATATAATATAATTTATTTGTCTAAAATTTTTTAATAAAATTGTTTTATTTATTTTATTTATTAATTATTAGTTTAATGTAAAATCAAATGTTGTATTTGTATGTATATCTCTAAATATTATTTGTATTTTTTTTTTTAATTTTAATAATTATTATATATATATATATCATGTAAAGTATATAATAATAATATTAATTAAGATATTTACCAAAAAAAATTATGATTATATAATCTAATATAATAGTCCGTAAAATAATAATATGTTTTTAATTATTAAGTAATTACAATATTACTATTTTCCTGTAAATCAAATTATTGTTTTTAAAAATATATTGTTTTTAGTATTGTTAATTAAATTATTAAATTATGAAAAAATATAAACACTAATAAATAAAAATAATTACGTAAATAATATATATATATATATATATATATATATTAACAAATATTTATTATTTATAATTAATAAAAAAAATAAATAAATGCATTACTATAGGATGTAATTATAAATATTATTTAATCTTGATATTTATATTAATTTATTATATATATATATATATATATATAAATTAAGCAATTAATATATCGAGAAAAACATAATAAAAAACAAAATATACAATAAATTTATATTTTATTTTATGTATGAATCATATTAATAAACAATTATAATTAAATTATATATAAATTGTAATTTATTATTATTTATTTTTGTTGGATTGCAAAATATTTTTGTAATCATTTATATAATTTTTTTTGTGGTAATTATAAAATAGTATAATAAAAAATAATAACTAACATGTGTATGATATTTATCTATTATTTGTATACAGGGTATATATTTTTATTATGGGGGTATTTTTCTAGAAAATAATAATAAATATTTAATCTACCAGTACTGTATATTTAGTTATCTATTTGATTTTCAAAATATTATTATTATAAAATTATAAAGTTAATAAAAATAATATCAAATTATTATTAAATAATTAAAATTTAATTTACAAAAAAAATTTGTTTAAATAAATAAATTCTAATATATATATATATATATATATATATATATATATATATATATACTGTAAATAGTAATACTATTTCAATGTTTATATATATAACTAAAATTAATTTCAACTAAAATAAAAGTAAAAATTAAATGGAAATTATTTAATAAGAAAATATAATAAAAAAATTTGCTAATTTATTGCCCATTATATTGATATACAGTATATATTTTAATTGATAATATCTTTTATAATAAGTTTTATGACATAAGCAACAAATATAATAAAAAAAATAAATATTTTTTATCAAATTAGATGAGTATATAAAGTCTAAACTGAAAACAAAAAATTAAATAAATAACTAATTGTCAGTAATTATAAACTAATCATAAAGTTATTAAAAAAAAAAAAAATAAAATGATTATCAAATTTTTGGTGACAATTGTTTTGATGGTAGCACTGGTAGCCTACCAGTGCAACTGTAATGATTGGTGGCCGCCATCGGGCAAAACAACTCAAGCACCGGTAGTCTTGGCTTGTGGCCAGGGATTGGTGGCCATTGACGGCGAGTTTAACGGCAGCCGTAGTGTCCAATTGGGTGAAGTACCGTGGCAAGTGTCGGTACAGTCGAAAGCTGGTGGCGCCAAATGGGGACACAGTTGCGGTGGGGTTGTCATCAGCAAAGACTTTGTACTGACCAGTGCTGTCTGCGCTGGCGGTGGGTATGTATGCTCTCTCTTTCTCTCTCTCTCTCTCTCTCTCTCTCTCTCTCTCTCTCTCTCTCTCTCTCTCTCTCTCTCTCTCTCTCTCTCTCTCTCTCTCTCTCTGTTTCTCTCTCTCTCTCTCTCTCTCTCTCTCTCTCTCTCTCTCTCTCTCTCTCTCTCTTTATTCCTCTCTCTCTCTTTCTCTCTCGAGGACTGGTAGGTAATAGGTCTAACTTTTATCATCACTTATTTTTTTTAGATCAAACAACGAAGCCTTTTGCCGTTCAGAGGCCGGTATTGTTGATCTGCCGAAAGGTGGTTGGGCTCGACGTCGCCGACGACAGGCCGATGTCCTATACCCGGGTCAGGACACTCCTGGCCTGAAGTATACAATGCGATCGTATATTCATCCGGATTTCGATAAGGAAACGCTGGCCAACAATCTGGCATTGCTTCAACTGGCCCAGCCGTTTGACGTGGCCAAAGCTGCCGGCACTATCAACCATATATGTCTGGCCACTGAAACGGCTGCACCCGATGCCGACCAGCAGCTGTATGTTAGCGGTTGGGGTGCTATAGACGGTGCCATTGATTTCCGGCCACAGCTACAGCTAGTTAAGGCCAGACAAGTGGACTGTGAGCCGATAGCGGCACCGGCAGCTGAACTGCCCAATCAGTTATGTGTTGTCCAGGACTTGTTAGACGATACTATGGATGAGTGTGTGGTTAGTAGTCTATCAATCAATCATTTAAATACATTTTTTTTTAAATATCTATTTTGGTTTTTTAGGGTGATTTTGGTGGTCCCTTATTCAGCACCAATGGTGGTAACCAGTCGACCCTAGTAGGCATCTATACATCGGGTAACGGTTGTACCAGTGCTAACAATACGTCCAAATTTCTAGATATTAAACCCTATTTAGTTTGGATTCAAGAAACAGCTAAACCTGCTTATGGATAACTATATATATATTTTTATAAAAAAAACGCAATTAAATGTATTAATTTATTATTATTATTATTATTATTATTATACTTTTTTAATAAATTTTTTAATATGCATTTAATTGAATTTAATTTAATTGAAAAATTTTATAACATATACTGTACCGTTTTGTTTTTGAAAATATATATAATTTTATCAATTTTAAATAAAAAAAATTTCCATACAATTTATTTAATTAATTAATTAATAATTGTAATAAAATATAATCACATATAATTAATTATCTTAATAATAATAATTATTATTAATTGTATTAATCAATTAAAATTTTATAATTTATTTTTTTATAATTTAAAATTAGTATTGAATATAATTTTTTTTTATATGAATACAATATATATATAGCTTTTAAGCAAAAGTTTAAAATTTTTTATTAAGTTTAGTAATAATAATAATAATAATAATAATAATAATTACTAAAAGTTTTAAAAATAAAAAACTATCAATAATACAGATTCAATATTATAATAATTAAAAAAAATAATAATAATTCAATACAATAAATATAGATTATATCTATTAATAGTTAATTTATATTCAATTTGTTTTTTTTAAGTAAATAATATTACAATAAATATGTCTAATATTTCAAAATTAAAAAAAATTATTAAACTGTATATTGATTAACAGTTTAATTTTTATATATATATATATATCAATATAAAAATTTATTGATTAAAAAATATACTGTAGTAATATAAGCTATAATTTTATTTTTTAAAGTATAAACTTTTTAGTCTAGAAATAAATAAATATGAAACCTAAACAAACAAATAAAAAATTTGATATTTAATATATTTAAAAAAAACTAATAATAATAATAATCATCTAGCTAAGTTGAAAATTATTTTTTTTAATTACACAAATATACTATATATATATCATAATAATTGATAATTATTGACATATTGTTTGAATATCCTAATAGTTTAGACTTTTTTTATAAAAAAAAAAATTTATTTTTATTTAAATATACAAAAAAGTTTTAGTTAGTTAGTCAGTCATAGTATTAGTTGAATTTGTTGAGCACTGTTAGCTCAAAATTTTTGGTTAGGTTAGGTAGTAGTAGTGGTGGTGTTGTATCAGACAATCAATCAATCAATCAGTCAATGACTACTACAACAACCGTTACCACCAAACCATTGTAGGTCTAACTCAATTCAATTCATTGTTTCATAAACTACCTGATCATCCATCATCTGTACCACTGTTGCCGCCATTATGTGGTCGCCATCATCATCATCATCGTCGTCGTCGGGATCATCGGCCACATCGGACATATCGCCGAACCGATTATCAGTGGACTCGCTATCGTCATCGACATCGGGAGCAGTGCCGCGGACACTACTAGGAGTACCGATGTTTGATCCGGTACGCTATCGGACGGAAATGTGCAAAAATTTTGTCGAATCGGGTGTCTGTCGATTCAACGACCGGTGTTTCTATGCCCACGCCCTCCACGAGCTCAGGCCTACAACCTATCGCCACCGGAAACATAAAACCCAATTGTGTCGGCCGTTTCATACCGACGGCTTCTGCGAGTTTGGCGCCCGCTGTGCGTTCATACACTCGCGGCCCGATGTCGAGGCTATTGTCCAGCGATTTAATCGGCTAATCGATTCGCTACAGTGTCGGCCACCACCACAACCACCAGCAGCACCGGCACCTGTATCCAGACAGCAGCCGCAGCAGTGGTGGTCACCGCCAACACCACCGCCAATGATGGACGACAAGATGGTTATCGATACCATTGACATTGGTATAGATATGCGGGCGCCTACCGGTGATGATGGCGACTATGATAATGATGGTGATGATTATGGCACCGGTATTATAGTTACAGTTCCCGGTCGACACGTTAGACTACCCATATTCAGACGGTTTGCCCATTAGTTTCATAAAATTTATTTTATTTTATTTGACGTTAAATTTCTTTATTATTATTATTATAATATTTTTTAATTTTTAAAAATTGTTATATTTTTTTTATTAATACAATTCTAGTTATTATTATTATTATTTATACAACAAAATTATAATATTAGTTGTAAATGTTGTGTAAATTTTTTTTTTTTATTAACTTAGTTATCAATATTCAATAATTTTATATATTATATATAATTTGTATTTTTAAAACTATAATTTCAATTTTTTAATTAAGTCATTTAATTTGACCATAATTTTACTTTAATTATATTTTTAAAAAAAAATCTTATCTAAATATTATTATTATTAATTAAGTTATCTTAAATGACAAACTTTATTAAAATGTTATTAGATTTTCAATTTATTTATAAATAAAAAATACTGTATATATATATATATATCATAATAAAATAATTATAATACAAATTGAAATGTTTTTCATTACTATTATTGTAATTAAAATATATTTTATTATTTATAAAATTCAAAAATTTTAAAAAATTAGTTTTATTAATCTCATATTGGTTTCATTTTTGAAACCTTATATTTAAAATAAAAATTTTTAATTAAATCACAATTAATTGTCACATATTGTTTGTTTATAATACAGTAGTAGTAGTAGTAGTCGTATACGTAAAAAATCATATTTAATAATATCATATTTAAAAAAAACTAATACAATTGAAATAAAAATTTTTGGCCAACAATTTGTACACTTATTTTGTTTTGTTTGTTTGTATAATATTTTTTGATAATTTATATATTCATTAATATATAGTATATATGAGACTCACATATAAATTATATATAAATATATATTTTTAAGGCATAGTTATAGACATATAACAACAGTATTATTTGTATCAACCATTTTCAATGATTGATTGATTGATTATCTGATATCTG